AAAAGCACTTGCAGTAGGTGATAGTTTAAATAGAAATAGGATATTTGCCTAACCCTAAAACACTTAGCACTTTACACAGGGGAAAACAGTCTACAGGGGAGGACCCTGGTGATCAAGTCGTTCTTATAGACGTCATACACCTTCAAGAGCACTGAGGACACACTGCTTCTACTGTGTTCTCAATAATGTATACCCCCAATCTGATCCTGAGGAGACATCAGGTAAACTCTTATTGAGGGGCATTCTACAAAATAGCTGGCCTGCATTCTTCAAAGTGTCAAGGCCACAAAAGACAAGGAAAGGCCGGGGAACTGGCCCAGATTGGAGGAGATGTAGAAGAGGCAACAGCTAAACGCTGTGTGGGATGCTGGTTGCATCCAAAACGGAAAGAGAACGTTAGTGGAAACATGGGTGAAATCCAAATTTTAGGGTTAGGCAAACGAGTTCTGTGCTTCAGTTAATAGCATTGGTTCATTGTTGGCTCTGATCAGTGTTTTGATTTGTTTTGTTTTTAATCCTCACCCAAGGATAATCTTTCCATTGATTTCTAGAGAGAGTGGAACAAAGGGAAAAGAGGGAGAGAGAGAGAGTGAGAAACATCAACGTGAGAGAGACACTTCGGTTGGTGGCCTCCCGCACACACCTACCTGGGCTGGGGAATCTACCACTGAGGTGTGTGCCCTTGACCAGGAACTGAACCCGAGACTGAGCAAACCGGCCAGGGCTTAGTCAATGTTCTGTGGTGACATAAGATATTAATAGAAAGGAAAGTTGGATGAAGGATATACAGGAACTTTGTACTATTTTGGCAAGTCTTCTGTAAGTCTAAAACTGTCTGAAAAAACACGTGCGCACACTAAGCAGGCCAAACAAAACGTGTCTGAGTTTGATTCATTTATTCACCCGCTCAACAAGTCTTCATGAGCGCTCCCTCTGTGCTGGGCACTGTCTAGGTCTGAACAACACACAAAAGCCCTGCCCTTGCGGACCCCACACCAGTTGGAGAGAAAGATAACAGAATAAGAGGAACATAGGGTTAGATACCGATAGTGTTGTGGAGAAAGCTAAGGCAGGAGGGGGGCCAGGGTTTGTGGAGTTGGTATCCCTGAGAGAAAGCCTGGTATCAGTCACTCTGGGGGGCGTCAAGCCCACTGTAGGCCTAAGGCCTCCGAGGTGGAGATGGCCTCCCTCCCCGTCCGTCTGTGTCCTGGCTCACACCCTCTTTTCCTCTCCGACTCCTCCGCAGGGATCGTCGCCAGCAACACCCGGGACAATAACACCGGGGCCACCTACCCGCACCTGAACTTCAGCGTTCCCATCACCGTGCTGCAGCCGGCCCTGCAGCGGTACCGCCAGACGGGCGACATGGGCGGCCTCCGAGAGCTGGACCACGCCGCCGAGCCAGTGAGGGTGGTGTGGCGGCTGCAGCGGCCCCTGGCAGAGGCCCCGCAGAGCAAGCTCTGAGCCCGTGTCACCCTCCTGAGAGAGGAGCGACCATTTGTGCCATGGGAAGTGCTCAGGTGATGGCAGCCTCGGGATCCCAACACGGCACCCCAGCCGGTCAGTGCCCCCATCAGCACCCGCCGTGCGTGGCTCTGGGGTCTGGATCAGATTTCTCCTCAGCCCCATGGGCCTCCAAGCCAGTAGACCCTTTTGGGGTACTCTCTCCAGCCTTCACCCACCTCTGCTCCCTGGCAGTAGACACGGCTCTGTTGTTCCTCACCTGGGGGCGCCCAGCACAGCTGCACAGAGTCCTGGTCCTGACGGACATGTTGGCAGGAAGGCAGGCCCAGCCCTGGGTTCGAGTCTCCCCATCTGCTGATGGGCACTGGCTCCTCTGCTCTCGGTCAGAATCAGCAGCTGACAGAGCACTGGCGCTTCCTCAGAAAAACCTCGGCACAGAGGCTCTGCCCTGGAGGCCAGAGGGAAAGGAGAGTGACATCTATCTCCCTGTTCGGCCAGACCTTTGGGGAGACAGAGTCCCTGAAAGTCAGGACTCCTGGGTCTCCGTGTGTGGTGTCCATGACCCACAGGGGCACTCTGCCCCAGTGCCTTAATTTTCCAGCCCATGCAATGGGTCTCAGGGATCTTGGCGGGAGGCGGGGAGAGGATTATAAGGTATCGGGGTTTGGGAATAAACAGAACCTGTGGAAGGAACTGTACACTTGTATGAATCAGATTATTTTTTCCCCTTCCTGTTTTGAGAATTGAATTGGGAATAAGAAGCACCAGGCACAGAAACATACCTTTTCTGTCCTGCTTTCTCAGTGCCATTTGCTCTCCCAGGATATTCTCATGCCAAACTGGCCCTTCCACTGCCTCTGGCCCCTGGAAACTCAGACAAACGTCCTTTGCTAGGCAAGGAGCCCTGCAGTTCACTTCCAGCGCTACCGGCCCTGCTGAGTGGGGTGAACTGCCTCGGAGAGGGCACGTGGGGTTGCACTTGATCCCTGTCTTGGATCAAGGCGTCCTCTGGTTGCCAAAGTGCTGAACGACAGACAGAATCTTCCCTGATCCATGGTTTGGGGTAGGTCTTTGGAGATGGGCCACCAGCTCTGATAAAGCCAGGCCCAAGCCCATGTGGGGCCATTGTACACTCCCCTCTCTCCTGGCTTCAGGTTTGTGCTGTGACGTTAGAGTCCTGCCTTTGCACCCTGCCCATTGGAATTCATCGGGAGAGGCCCAGAGCTTTCGGTCAATCTTCCTTGACCTTCCCAGGCCCAGGGCAGGCGGTGGCACTCCCTTAGCTCTCTGTCTCCCACAGGGCCAGCATGTGCCCAGTAAATTTCCAGTGCTTGTCTGACTCACAGTTGAGACTCTCCTTTGCCTGCTGTGACCTCTGGCCCCCTTAGGAATGATGCCCTGCTGAGGGGTTTCCTGGCTTTAGGGTGAAGGGCCTCCAGCTCCTTGGCTTTACTGCTGTGACTTTGCCTAAATTCTTATCCTGTGAGCCTCCGCTTGCTCACCTGTGAAGTGGAGATGAATGAAGCTTACCTTGGGTGGGACCCGTGTAAAATTTGAGAAGCTATCCAAGACAGTTTGTTTTCAATAAATATTAGCCACTATTTTTCTAGACTGGTAGGATTGTTTAATCAGAAATGCAGTGAAGAATGGTGTTGGAAATTGGTGATGGTTGCACAACCTTCGCATTACTGAATTGTACATGTTAGAAGGGAGAATTTTATGGGAAGCAAACATTTGTGAACTCAGAGGAACGCAGTGCTGGGTCAGGGCCAGATGCTAGAGACCCAAAGTCCAGCACAGTGAGGTCTCTGCCCCAAAGAGCTGGTCAAGGGTGATTGTTGCTGTCCTCAGGGTCCGAGTTTAATCCCCACCCTACTTTCCTGGAGGGGTTTCAGGAGGAAAAAAAAAAAAAAAAAAAAAAGATAAAAACTGGAATTTTGCAAAGTTCAGGACAAATGCAAGGAGTGCTGTGCCTGAAGCATCGGATCCACCCCACGGCTCTGATGGTTCCCTATGAGACCGTGTAGGCTGGGCGGGGCCCGTGGGCTCTCTGCACCCACACTCGGGCACCATTGCTCTTCTGGGTCCCTCCGGATCTGAGAGAAGGCAGTGGAGATTCCCACACCTCTCCCTGTATCCCACCCCTTCACCTGCCATCATGGGGCAGAGCATCAGCAGGGACAGGAGGAGAGGCAAAGGTTCCAGAGGAGAGGAAGATGCAGCCTGGCTTCACAGGAGTTACACCAGCTTTTCTCCCAGCTGGAGATGAAGCGGAGCACCAACTTCTACATGCAGTTGGTCACATGGCTCCTATTGGATACTAAGTTTTTAACCACAACCTTTGGAAGAGATACAGAAAGGGCCACTTCTACTACAGACATTTGTGGAAAGCAGGAAGGTGAATGGCACTGGGTGGGCCCCAGGAGGCTGCCAGGCCCTGCATGGCCTTGGGCAAGCTGGCTGCTGTGTGCCAGACACCAACTAAGACACTCCACAGGAAGGGTCTCGTTGAATCTTCTTCAAAACCCTTAGGGTAGGTGCTAATATTTGTTTAAATACCCTGTTTCCCCGAAAATAAGACAGGGTCTTATATTAATTTTTTTCTCCCAAAGTTGCGCTAGGTCTTATCTTCAGGGGATGTCTTATCTTTCCATGCACTAGGTCTTATTTTTGGGGAAACACGGGTAGATGTCATCTCTGTCACCTAGTTAGTTTGACCTGACTGCCAGGTTGTAGCTTGCATCAGTCCATTTCTTTACATATCCTACTTAGTCCAAGCTCTCTCTTTTCTAAATAGTTCCCTCATTTCAGCAGCCCTCCTACTTCCCCAACCTTTCACCATATAGAGCATAACTCAGTCCCATCACTCTTCTGCTTACAATCTTGCAGTGACAGATCCCACTGGCCTTGGGGTGACCAGCTCTTTCCCCCTGGCCCCCCCCATCACCGCCAGCAATATGTCCTGTCTCCAGGTCTTTGCACACCCAGAGCACACTTGCTTCCTCTCTGCCCGGGACTAACTCCTCCTCCTTGGAGAAAGGCCTCCTCTGCTCCCAGGTTTTCTTCCTTCAATGAGAGACAGATGTTTAATTGCCTTTCCCCAGTCTATCACCCAATCAGGGGCAAGCAGAAACCAGGCCAGCTTGTTCTCATTCCATCTCCCAGCTCCTAGCTCAGGGCCGGGCATGCAGAGGTAATATTACATATATAAGTAATAATCCCACTGGGCTAGCGGGATTACTACTTATAATATATAAGCGTAAAGGCAGGAGGCTGGCCACCCGCGCTCGGAAGTCCGGCAGCTTCTGCTGGCGGAAAGCCGGGCCAAACTTGGATCAGAGTCTGAGGGGCTCGCGCAGGGCCAGGCGCCGTGGATCTTAGCGCCGTCAGTTTCACGGGGGCACCGGGCGAAGGGGGCGTTCCCGTCCGCTAGGGGGCGGGGCGTGCCAGCTGCAATCCACCCGGGAGCCCGCGGGGGCGTGGCCAGAGGACGTGACCAGAGGGCGCCGGGTCACGTGGGCCGGGCGGGGCCGTGGTGCCCGAGGCGACCTCCCGCCCGCGGCGCCTCTGCGGGAGGCGCGCTCTCGGGCTCCCCCGCGCCCGCCCGCAGGGCCCCGCAGGCTCCCCGGACCGGGACCGCCGGGGCTTGGGGAACGCGGCGGACTCGGCGGAAGTCGGTGCGTGGAGTTGGGACCTTAGGAGGAGGGGCCGGTCGTCTGGGACTCGGGGCCGCCTGCAGCACCCCACTTTCCCCCAAACTCAACAGGGAGGCTTACCCGCGGCGGGGGAAGGGAATTAACCCCCTGCCCGTCCGCCCCAGGTCACGGCCAAGTCTTCCAGGTAAGAAGGGTGCCCTCCCTCCGCCCACCAGCCCGGGGGTCGCCGCTGGTTAGAAGCCGGTGTCCCGGGGAGGGAGGAAAGCCTCCGGCCCCCGGAGGGAGACGCCGGGGCCCAGGGCCCACGGGCTCCGGGTCACACTAGGGGATCCCCCTCTCCTTTCCTCAAAGCCCAGCTTCCGCAGGCGCCGAGCTGAGGATGGGACCGGGGAGCCCAGGACGCCTGGAATTCCCGCGGAGCTGCTGCTTGTGGGTGGCGGTGGGCGCTCACCTTCCAGCCCCACCCACCACACACACCCTGCCTGTCCCTCCAACAGGTGTCCCTTTGACCCCTGGCTGTGTCTGAGGGTGCGGAGGGGAGAGTGTTGTGGGGTCGAATCCTGGGTTCAAAATAAGACCACCGGAGGCTAGTTAATTAATTAAAAAAAGCAGGCAAGGATTTATTGAACTGGCCAGCACAGCCACAAGAGCACCACATGCAGGTGGACTCCAAATGACTGCCCTGTTTCAGGGGCAGGCAGTTCCTTTTAAAGGTTTAAACCGCAAGAATTTTCCTGTTGTTCCTAAACCCTAAAGACTAAATTCTAAAGACTGGGGACAGCCCGCAGGGTTGGTTCCCAGTCACAGCCTGCTGGACATTGGAATGTGGCCCTATCTTGTGATAGCGATAACACAGAAGCAGAGCTCAGCGGTTAGACTCTAAAGGTTATCTACAGCAGTGTTTTTCTACCTTTTTTGGGCAAAGGCACACTTGTTTCATGAAAAAAATCACGAGGCACACCACCATTAGAAAATGTTAAAAAATTTAACTCTGTGCCTATATTGACTATATATAAAGTAATTCTCTTGAATAGGAATCAAATAAACACAAAGAAAGTATTTTATAATTACTTTATTATGAAATATTAAGTAAACAAAATAGTGAAAAATTATAAAATTCTTGTCTTGTCTGCACCTACGGCACACCAGGCAACATCTCGCGGCACACTAGTGTGCCGCGGAACAGCGGTTGAAAAACGCTGATCTACAGTTTCTATCCCTGAAGCTACTGAGCCAGTGGGAACCATTCTCCTGTGGTCCTGATCCCTGGCAAGGGAAAATTGCCTTAGCCTCCAGGTCTTCACCTGGAAGCTGAGGTAAGTACCCTGTGTTTTAATCAGATGCAGGGGCCAAACTAGAAGGGTTAAAATTCAAACAGCAGTTTTTACCAAAGTATGGTTGCCACTATATTTTAGAGAGGCCCTGGGAACCTGTGACCGCACAGAGGACTGGCACAGAGCTGGGTGGCAGACATAGTTTGGGGAGGGCTTACCAGGCACCCCGGGTGTGTGTCTTGTGTTCATGGCCATTGTAAAACATGTGAATGTGTAAACCAGTGTTTCCCAACCTTCTCTCATGATGAGAATCACCTGGTGGAGTTGTTAAAACACAGATTCCCGGATCCCAACTAAGAAGTGCTAAACTAGAATTTTTGGGAACATATAGGTAAAATTGTATACTTAACTAGTGCTCTAAGACAGATTTTATATACAGAGCACTAAGTTAGGTATGCAGTTTTACCTATATGTTCTCAAAAATTCTAGTTTAGCACTTCTTAGTTGGGATTCGGGAATCTGTGTTTTAACAACTCCACCAGGTGATTCTCATCATGAGAGAAGGTTGGGAAACACTGGTGTAAACTATCCAGGAGGCCTGCTCAGACGCCACTAGTGGGTGTGTGTGTGCTCCAGTATGCCCTGTGCTCTGAGACGGTTTAGGCTGGGCGGTGCCCATGGGCTCTCTGCACCCACACTGTGGCACCATTGCTCTTCTGAGTGTGTGTGTGCTCCAGTATGCTCCTGTGCAAGCACTAAACTCGCAAGACCCGCCTTCCTCACCCCAGCACCTAGAGAGAAACCCTTTAAGAGCACTGTGTGTAACCCCACATCTGGAGGGCCTGCATTCCCGGGGGACACTGCTCCCAGCTGGGCCTGGCCTTGTTCGGGACAGCAGCCCAGCAGTAGAGCTGACCAGGGCTGGTGTGCGCCGGGGCCTGGGGGTCCTGGCGGTCCTGGCTGGTGTTTGGCTGGTGGTGAAATAAGAAAGCCAGGAGGGCCGAAACCGGTTTGGCTCAGTGGATAGAACGTTGGCCTGCGGACTGAACGGTCCCAGGTTCGATTCCGGTCAAGTGCATGTACCTTGGTTGCGGGCACATCCCCAGTGGGGGGTGTGCAAGAGGTAGCTGGTCGATGTTTCTCTCTCATCGATGTTTCTAACTCTCTATCCCTCTCTCTTCCTCTCTGTAAAAAAATCAATAATATATATATATTTAAAAAAAACAAAACAAAACAAAAACACCCAGGAGGGCCCAGACACAGGAAGTGAGCAGACCACAGGGCTGTTTTGGGAATAGGGGAGTGTGCAGGACGCTGGCATGGGCCAGTCTGCCCAGAGCTGCCCTCTCCTAGGGCGGGAAAGAATAGCTCCTTTGTTAGACTTTGAGTCCCTTTCGGAAATTGGTATTTTTGGGGTTATATTTAGCATGCGTTCCCTGGGGAATGGGCCATGGAAGGCCTACTCTCTGCCTGTCCCCGGCTGGATAGGGACATTCGTGGTGTTTGGAGTCACACTGAGGGCCTCTCACACAGGATGGCCACTCTGGAAACGTGCCTGTAGAAATCTTCCCTGGCTTAACCACTGAGGACTCCAGACTTCATTTCATTAGTAATCTCTGTGAAGCAAACCTGGACCAAGCCCTTGCATTGATTGGAATCCATGTGGTTCCTGCTGTGTGTGCTGAGGCGTGACCACTCTGCAACTCTGGCATAAATGTAACTCGCTTGTTTTTCAGTAGATTCCTAAAAGCCTCTGTTTGTATCATTACAGACAACCCCCTCCCCCCCCAGGCTGGGTATTTTTGGTAGAAACAGGATTTACTGAGAAAATTCCAGTGTATACCAATTTGTGTGTGTGTGTATGTGTGTGTGTGTGTGTGTGTGTGTGTATGTACAAACGTATATATGTGTGGGCACCCGCATGAATGTGTTGGGGAAAGGACAAAGGTAAATTTCCTAGACAATTAGGGTTTGTTCTCTTGGACCTTCTCTTAAGCTAACCTTCCTGCATCTGGGCAGGTTGAGTTAAGACTCTCTGTGCTCTCTCCTTTGGCTTGATGTTCAGTTCAGAATCAGATGGTGGGTTTGGCAGTTCTTCAAACAGTTAAGTCCAGACTTACCATAGGCCCAAACAGCTCTCTCCTTTGGCTTGATGTTCAGTTCAGAATCAGATGGTGGGTTTGGCAGTTCTTCAAACAGTTAAGTCCAGACTTACCATAGGCCCGAGCAGTGTCACTCCTAGGTATATACTCAGAGAGTTAAAAACATACGTTCACAGAAAAACTTGTGTATGAATGTTCATGGCAGCATTATTCACAAGAGCCAAAAGGTGGAAACAACCTAAATATACATCAACTGACGGATGGATAAACAAAATGTACCTCCAAACAATGCAATATTAATCAGCCATAAAAAGGAATGAAATACTGGTACAGCTTGGCTGAATCTTGAAAACATTATGCTAAGTGAAAGAAACCCGACAAAAGGTATGGAATGGGCAAATGTAGAGACTGACGGAAGATTAGTGGCTCCCAGGGGCTGCAGGAGGTGGGAATGGGGAATGACTGCTAATGGATGAGTTCTCCTCCTCCTCCTCCTCCTCCTCCTTCTCCTTCTTCTTCCTCTTCTTCTTGCATTGAAAATGTTCTGGATTTAATTGTGGTGATGGTTGTACAATTTCATGAATGTCCTAGGAACCACTGAATTGTACACTCCAAAATAGTGAATTTTATATGACTAATATCTCAATTTAAAAATTTAGTTGGTAGGAGGTCTGCCCTGTTATTAAAGCTTTATTATTTCTGTAAAAATGACACACTCATTTAAAAATATTCAAACAATACAAAAACAAACAAACAAACAAAAACCCCACAACAAACAAACTCAAAGAAGAAAGTAGAAATGTCATGTGGGACCACTGCTTTAGAGTCCAAGCCTGTCAGACCGTGAGGCTTGACCTTGGGCAAGTTACTGACTTTCTATCAAAAATGTTTATAACAACTCACAGATAAAAAGGCAATGAGTGCTAGCTGTTGTAATTATTACACATATATGTGTACATGTAGCTAGATACACATGTCTGATTGCTCATAAGTGGAATTAGGCTGTTCTACTACCTGACTTTTTCATGGACAAACTTTGTTGCATATTTTTTATTGATTTCAGAGAGGAAGGGAGAGGGAGAGAGATAGAAACATCAATGATGACAGAGGTTGCTTCATGCACCTCTCTGCTCCCCACTGGGGATTGCGCCCGCCTCCCGAGCATGTGCCCTGAGTGGGAATCGAACTGTGCAGTGACCTCCTGGTTCATAGGTTGGCTCAACCACTGAGCAACACTGGCCAGGTAACAAACTTTGTTTTCTAAGGACTTTATTTATTTATTTTAAAAAAACTATATTTTATTAATTTTTTTTACAGAGAGGAAGGGAGAAGGATAGAGAGCTAGAAACATGGACTCCCTGCACACCCCCTACTGGGGATGTGCCCGCAACCAAGGTACATGCCCTTGACCAGAATCGAACCCGGGACCTTTCAGTCCGCAGGCCAATGCTCTATCCACTGAGCCAAACCGGTTTTGGCTAAGGAGTTTATTTTTGTGGAGTAGTTTAAGTTCATAGCAAAACTGAGGGCAAGGTACAGAAGATTTCTCATATGTCGCCTGTCCTCACACATGCACAGCCTCCCCCATTGTCAACACCCCCGCCAGAGTGGTCACTTGTTACAGTTGATGGACATGCATTGACACAGTCACCCAAAAACCATAATTTACGTTAAGGTTCATTCTTGGTCTTGTACATCTTATGAGTTGGACAAATCTTGGACAAGCATTTCATATAAAAAGCATCCCCTCTAAAAATGAAGGGCTCCAGAATATTCCATTGTATGGTGTATAACAGTGTATCTTGT